GCGCTGAGCGGGGGGGCTCTGGGGCTCCTTCGCCCCCGGCCCCGGCCCCTCGGTACTGCTCTGTTTCGGGCACTTCCGTTACACATAGACAGTTTTTCTCCCGGTATGTGGCGTTTTGTCGATCTTCATCGCGCGGTTAAGACGTCACTTTCCGGGAGGAATAAAGCTCTTGCGCTGCAGGGCGCTGGCGTCGGCCGCAGGCTGAAACCCGGCTGGGAGCGAGAGGCCGGCAGGCTTGGCAAGAAAAGGTATCATCTAGAAATACAGGACGAGACTTTAAGCTTTTTTCATACTTTCTCAGGTGTAGCCCAGATTCTGCTGTCTTCTGTATTACTTGTAAGTTCCAAATGCATTTCGTACACCTTATTGCCTAGGAGTTTGCTTCGGTGATGTTAGAGAGGCTTTAGAAAACAGAATGAAGCAGCTTCGGTAAGCCTGGGTCAAAAAAATAAAGACATAATGCAAATAGACCCCAATCTTCCTGAATTGCATGCTGTGCCGATGCTTTACAGAAAGGAATGCTTGTACACAGTGAATGGGAGACGATGGGAACAGATAAGGGAGTATTAAACTTGGTTTTGAGTAAAGCCAAATGACTGAGAAAGCTGATGTTTATGAAAAAAGAAACTTCTGAATGAACTGGCACGTTTCCCAACACCCAGAAGCTACCAGACTTAAGCTGCTGTGAAATGTAATGTTTAGTACTAGCACATACTCCACGTTTCTAAATAAAGCTTTGCAAGCCAAATGCTGGGAAGAAAGTAAAAATGTACATGTAGCTGTCTTTCATATTTTGATTTTCAAATCCAGCAAAGTTTCTATCAGCTTTTAGTTTGCAACGGTTCATAGTGGTTTAATCGTTCACCTGATGGGGGCATTAGTGTAATTTTGAGAACCTGAGTTTCAGCTTGGGTTGTCTGAACGGAACAGCATCTGTTCCCGCAGACAGAATTTAGGGTGAAGCAAATACTCTCATGTTTTACCCTGACAATAGAGCAGTTAGCTCAATTTTTTTTTTCCTAAATATGTAGAGGTGTGCTAGTGCAACATCATTGTCACTTTGTAACAGAATTAGAAAGAGCAGGTTTGTATACAACACTTTGAAGAGATAAATTGAAAATATCTTCATTTTCAACAAAAATGGGCATTTGAAATTCTGTAACTTAAAATAGCTATCCACTAACCTTATAAGTAGCTGATCGAATATTTTGAAGGGGGGGATTACTTTAAGGATACTTTGCTATTTCTATAAATAAAAATCTTCTCTAGTAAACTAGATCCAATTAGCTGACATGTTTTTCCTGCTAAGAATTTTTTTTTTTTTTCTGGCTAGTACGCTCTTTTGAGAAATTCAGGCCCTAATAGACTATTGAATCTTTTGAATCTTTTTCAGTCTACATGGAATATCTGATTTGCATTCCTTAAAACGTTTTAGAAAAGTTAGACTTGTCATTAGAAGAAGTTTACAGGAAAAAGAAGTGTTCATGATTTCAGTTCCCCACATTCAGAGATTAGTCATTGCCAGACACAGACTTAAAAATTCGATAGCCTCTGTGGAAAGAAGCATTGAATGTGACAAGGGTTTGACTGTTGTTCTCTTCACAGTATAGCCCAGACAATGTGGCTGGAGCAGACGGAGACATTGACCCCACTGAAATCACCTTTCCAGGATGTTCCTGTCTTACCAGCTCCTGTGTGGTTCACATGTGCTCGTGTCTTTGCCGTGGTGAAAATTACAACAGTTCGTGCCTCAGGCCTACGGACAAAGAGGAGGAGTACTCCCAGCCTGTTTTTGAATGCAATGCCATGTGCCAGTGTGGTGAATCCTGTCAAAACAGGGTTGTTCAGAGGGGTTTGCAATTCAGACTGGAGGTATTCAAGACTGAGAAGAAAGGGTGGGGTCTTCGCACTCTGGAATTCATAGCTAAAGGAAGGTTTGTTTGTGAATATGCTGGTGAAGTTTTAGGCTTTAATGAGGCACGTAGAAGAATTCAGGCCCAGACATCAAAGGATTCGAACTATATTATAGTGGTGAGGGAGCACCTCCATAGTGGTCAGATAATGGAGACGTTTGTTGACCCTACGTACATCGGTAACGTAGGCAGATTCCTGAATCATTCTTGTGAACCAAATTTATTTATGGTCCCAGTTAGAGTTGACTCAATGGTGCCTAAACTGGCACTTTTTGCAGCTACTGATATTTCTGCTGGAGAGGAACTTTCATATGATTATTCTGGAAGATTCCATAATTTACCAATAACTAATAGAGAAGAAGACTCTTTAGAGGAAGATAACAGATTGAGAAAACCTTGCTACTGTGGTTCCCGCACATGTGCTTCCTTCTTACCTTGGGACAGCTCCCTCTTTTCCACGCCAGACACTTTTTCCGGGAGCTCTCCATAGCTTTTCAGACCCTCAGCATACCTAACAAATACCCTTTTCTCTAGTAGTTAAATTGCAGTTAAATGAAACTCTGATCATGTTTTTGAGTAACAGATAGAAGACAAGCTTTTGAGAACTTAATACAACATCCTAGAGACTGTCTTGAGGGTGGATGGTATGATACGAGGGAGCACTGGAGCTTCAAGATGTTCCAAAAATCAGTTACTAAGCCAGGCCTGGTATTTTTTTCTTGATTTCATCTGACAGCTTGCTGTATGATAAAGCACCTCTCAGTCTGTATCTTTCAGAAAGAATGAACTTGAACACTAGTAGGCAGAAAGGGTGTGACAACAATGGGAAATGTCACTGAAATTACACAAGAGACCAAGGAGTGTTGACATTTGCAAGAAGGGCATTAGGTTTCTTAAATCCCATTAAAATAATTTCTTTTAAATTACTTGCTATAAATTTTTTGGCTCCACAAAACATCAATAACTAATTATTATTGATGTAGAAAACTTGCCCAGAAGGACTAGCTTAAATGCTTTGTGTTCCCCCCAGTTTTCCATCTCCAGTCACATCTAGGTGCATGCCAAAATCCGTTTTTAAGTGACTAGTTCAGTTTCATTACCATTTAGCTTTTGTGTAAACGGTGCAGTACTGCAGGCTCTGAGAAGTAGAGTCATCCCATCTCTTTAAAAAAAATCACATCTAGCTCAAGGCTCATCTGATAGAATTTCTGCAATAATAGCAAGCAGCATGACTGTGTTACTTTCCAGCACTATTATTACACGCTCAGGAAGCAAATTCAGACTCTGCAGTCTTAAAGCAGTATGATGCTGCTATTCTGACTTCTGAAATGGCTCAAAGTAGGAAATAGAAAAGTACATCTGAACAACAACAGATTTGTGGTTTTATGTTGTTGAACAGCTGGCAGATATGTGGAGCATTCCTTTCAGCTCCTAACTGGTTTGTTTTCACTACTCTTGCAGAGCCAAAGAGCATTGAGCAAGGCCTGTCATTTCCCAGCAGAGGGAGGTCATTGCCTCTTTTCATCATTCTTGTACAGATCTAACGAGCGCACGCTGCTTTGCTGAGCGTCTCCTTACACCAGGGATGCACGGGAGAGCTTACCAGACGGGGTACGTTCTGCAACTGCACCTTACTTCACTTCCGTTTGGAACGATCAAATTAAGGAAGCTTCAAACAGGCTTGTTCTGAATTTCCCCCAGCTTTGATATACGAGACAGATAAACTACAGTGCTGCTTCTTACAGTCATGCCACAGCGCTCCGTCAGCGGCACAAACCCTGGGTTATTTGCTCTGTACAGTTTCATCTTTAACTGTGTTCATAACTTTTGAGAAAACATACACACACAAGGTCGCGCATCTCGGGGGGATCTGCTGTTCGGCAGGCCATCACCAACTTTTTTTAGTAAAAAAAGACAACTTTGATTTGGACCTGAAAGATTAAACTGATACTGACAATGGATAAAGGATATTTTGCTGCTCATATTTTGCTATTTGCCAAACAAAATCTTTTTGTTTACCTATACTTCCTAGATAAACTTCAGTGTTAGCTTCTCCCCATTTAATGTATACCTTCATGCTTCCATTATGAAGAACCTCTGTTGAGATTTACGTATGGCTGTGGTTTTAGTTTAAAATAAAGATTACCACACGATTTTTCTTAGGGTTAATCATTAAGTGTCACTTCTGTCAATACAGAAAGGTTCCAAAGAATTTCAGCTGCTTGTCAAAAGTAATTTACAAGCTGAGTGGCCATTAAATTTATTCCTTGCGTGATTAAGGGTGCCTGCTTCTGGAGAAGCTCTCCAGATCCCGTAACTCGGAATGCACATTGCATTAGATACCAGAGCACAGCTTAGGTTGCAAGGTCTCTTGTCCTCTCTGGAGGCTTATCCGGTTTTCTTCCCCCAAAGGGTGCTGTGCCAGCCACTTTCAGCCTGCAGGAGTGGAGGGCTGGGGGCAGGGGGTACCATC